GCTTGCATGTACTAGCAAATACCTGGGAGGCTTTACATCTGGTTGGAAGGCGGGTCCCACGTGCTGGGTGCTCCAGTTTGTTCTCGCTCAATTGTTTTTGCTTCATACTTGTGATGGCATGAGTAATTCGTACTTTCCATGCAATTTTTCTCTGCTTGCTGTTGAGTTGCCATGTTTGCTGCACAGGGACTTCAAAGGAGGAAGCTGGGGGGAGGGGCTGCTGCTGCACCGCCGAGTAACATTTAGCATTTTCCCTATGACATTGCATGTGGAGAAATGAGGTAAATCACAATGTTTGGCAGCCTTTCCCATCTCCACAGAGGTTATCTCTTTGGTGAATAATATACAAACACTTGTACAGATTTGATAAGATGGTGTCACCCTCCAGTTCTGCACAGGTAAGCATATGGAGTATTTGTTGCCAAAAATGAACAGTTTCTGGTACTCCCCAAGCATACATCACAGACTAGGTCCACTAAGGGACCCCCTTCGCCGTGTCTACCACAAGGTGGTGGGCGGTCAGTAGTTGAACATTGTCGTCTAGTTTTCGAAGTGATTCATACAACTGAAACCTATTGTATTTTATACCTGTAAAGTGACTTCTACTTGGAGATTACCTCTTTTTGTTGTGATGTCTAGTTTGGTATGTAGCACAAAACACCAAAGTCATCTTTATGATAGAATCACAATCTGTTGATGTTTGGGTTCCATGCCCACTTATCACTATTTCCCTAATTTTGGAGGTGAGGCTATATAAGCATCTGTGTGAACTAGTAAAGGTGTGTTGTAGCCTGGGGAAGCTGGGGATAAGGAAAAGAGATATTACACCAATTTTACCTTTTACATAGTTCAATTTTTTACCTATTATTTTGGGTTTGTTGCAGGAGTTGCTGTGAAACAAAATGGGAGGTTCTCCCCAGTAATATTCAGGACCCAGAATATTCAGGACATGCCCATCACTTCAGAGCAGGTCAGGGTAAGCTTATATAACCTTTTTCTGTACCAAGTTCATGTACATATTGCTAGGTGTACTATTATGTATACTTAATATGGATGCTCAGATGACTAACTAACATGTTTCAGTAGATTCAACCCAGTTTCAACTGTTGGGATGGCATCCATGAATCAATCCAGAAAGTCTGGCAAAACAATAAAAACATATTACAAGTGTTTTGCCTCATAGAATACACTGATCAGAAACAGGTTGTGTCATTCGCTACCAGCTGCCTCATTACATCCTTGACTAGATTTGCTGCACCTGCTTGATTATCACCTAGGTAGCCAGCATTTTGTTATCCCCTTAGTATAAAAATTGATGACAGAACCTTCCTGGCCATATAATACTGTGTTCCCTGGAAGGAAATTATGAGCATTTGTTTCCTTGCCTTCCCTCAGATAAAAGGTGTCATGACTGGGGAATCATCATCTGAGAGTCATACCATCAGAACAGCCAGCTCAGTTGACCTCTTCATGTCGAAACTGGGTGAGTGCATACAGGTCCTCTAATTATAACTCACATGGATATGGCTGTAATCCAGACCTGACTTAAAGGTGAGGGATTTCTGCAAACAGCACACTTAAACCACAAACTGCAGATGACTAAGATGGTGATCATATCTTTTAACTGTTTCTGACCATTATGTTTGTGTACCACCAAACATTGATCTGATAACTTGCATGTTGTTGCAGTTTCAAAATATGGTTTTGATTAAAATCATGTGAAGCATCAAGTATGTAACAAACTGTGGGTCTTAAAATGAGCATGCCATCCATATGGGTACATCACATCCATGTATGGTGTTGTATTGTTGCAACAATGTAATACTACAGCTCTACAGGGAGAGTTTGTGTAGATTTTGCATGCACTGTATGAGCCAACCTGTATGGAACACCTGACCACATAGGTTATCAGGGCTGTCCTGGGTTAGGTTAGGTTAGGTTACCTGTATGGAATGCCTGACCACATAGGTCATCAGGGCTGTCTTGGGTTAGGTTAGGTTAGTTACCTGTTGGAATGTCTAGCCACATAGTCCTCAGGCTGTCCCTGGTTAGGTTAGGTTAGTTACTGTATGGAACACCTAACCAACAATAGTCATCATGGCTGTTTCCTGGTTTAGGTTATTTAGGTTACCTGTATGGAATGCCTGACCACATAGGTCATCAGGGCTGTCCTTGGGTTAGGTTAGGTTAGGTTACCTGTATGGAATGCCTGACCACATAGGTCATCAGGGCTGTCTTGGGTTAGGTTAGGTTAGGTTACCTGTATGGAATGTCTGACCACATAGGTCATCAGGGCTGTCCTGGAGCGTGACTCGCATCAGTCAGGTAAGTCAGAAGTGAGGCACTCAGTAACATCACACACTCACATAAACAGGTGATATTCACTGCTGAAATGAATGTGGAAATTCTCTTCTCTGCCTGTCACACGTCTTTTGCCTGCGCCTGTGCCAGTGAGCGATCGTACATGGTGGTAGCCGTGTTTGTAGGCGGGTGTGGTGAGCGGGTTGCGAGGACGGTCCGCCAGCAGCCTGTGTCGACAGAGCCGTGTTTGTAGGCGGGTGTGGTGAGCGGGGTGCGAGGACGGTCCGCCAGCAGCCTGTGTCGACAGAGCACCGGCTGCCCGAGATCAGGGAGCGCGCCGCCGGCTCGCTGGCCAGCGCCGTCGCGCTCGGCCTTCTGCCGCCCCAGCAGCTGGTCGACCGCCTGCGCCGCCAGCTGCAGCTGCCCGACTGGCCCGGCCGCCCGCAGGCGCTCCAGCTGCTCCGACAGCTTCACATGGTGCGGGCCTCACGGAAGCTGGCCATGAAGGCTACCAATGTAAAATATTGTGAATTTTTTAGTACCGTAAATTTGCATCAGGTGATACCGTAATTTCCGGGGCGAGACGAAGTGACTGTGTTAAGTGGCAACGGCTGGGAGGCATACAGCCCGTTGCTTTGTTTTTATGAAAGCTTTATCGTAAACCATTCTCCAGTGGATATTTCATTGCTTCATGGGAGTGCAACCGATGTGTCCATGGCCGATGCTCAGTCTCAGCAACTTTGCGTGCTTCGAATTCAGCTGGCGCGCGTGCTTACCAGTGGCCCGTGTTAACCAATGTCGCTTTGCCTGGACCCCCAGCCTCCGCTCTAACGCTGCCCTCTATGACCAGGACGTGCCGGGGGAGGAGAGGGAGGGGCGGCCGTCCCTCCCTGCGACACCGCCCGCCAGCCCCACGCGAGCCGGCGGCGAGACGGGCGGTGCCGATCCAACCGACCAGGCAGTGCAGGTCTGTACTCGGCCCAGGTCAGCTCCCGGTGGCTGGTGGGCGCCGATGGAGGGATCCACACTGGTTTGGAGGCTCGGTCGTTACACAATGATCGGAGGGCATCCGGGCTTCGCTGCTCTTTGAGCCGGCTTGCAGCTGAGACCTGTGCCTCGGAAGGCAGTCTGCAGTCGCGCCGCACGTTGTGGCGAGTTGGGCTGCGCTCATCCGAAGACAGCATCGGCACCGACGCTCGTGTTGGGCAGGCCAGTACGCAAGTTGGCACTATTGGCAGATCAATGCGTGAGCGAAGCAGCCGTGCAGTTGCTTTGACATCACAGCGCGAGCTGTGACTGGCGTCGGCGGCCCAGTAACGTCGCCGTCACAGCCAGCAGCCTGTGACGGCGGCAGTAGCCAGGTGTGGCGGTCAGCCGTGACAGGTCCCCCCCGCCCCCCTCCCACCTCAGACGGGCGCCGAGCAGAGCGGCGCCGGAGACTTCACGTGTCGCGCTAGCCGCCCAGCCGGCGGTAACGAGGACGACACAATGATGGAAGTCAGGTGAGGCTGAGGCTGTTGCCGGCTGTGTAGCGGGGCTAAAGCAGGGCTGGTAAGCCCTGCCTGCCGTCACATACGCTGTTGGAAACAGCAGTTTGAAGCGTGCAGTATGTCGGTAATCATTCCGTTGTCAGTCAGTGAGATGCACTGGAAGTTATGGGAAGGGGAGGGCTTGTTCTCCGTGTGCGCACAGTGATATGACAACGTGTTTTCTGCGCATGTGGAGCCTGACAGCTTTCCGCATTATCTGCTTATTTCTGTGATATATATATATATATATATATATATATATATATATATATATATCTATATCTATATATCTATATATCTATATATATATACGGCGGATGTATATATATATATATATATATATATATATATATATATATATATTGTATATAAGCGTGCCAGGTTGTCTTTTTGTGCGTTCGATGCACTTCGGCGTGGCACCTGTGTGTGTGTGCGTGTGTGGGTATGGTCTCGTGGTCTGATTGGCGTGGTGGTCGCGCAGACTGCTGGACCTGCCCAGCTCATCCGAGTCTGCGCCGGAGGACCCTGACCCGGACCCGGACCAGAACCGATTCGAGGAGGAGTCAGACGCCGTCCGGCACCTGCCCTGGAAGGTGACGCCGCCCATCTGGCCTCCGCCACCACGTCTGGCGACGTTTTCACCTGATGTGCCGAACTCGTTCGATATGTGCATTATTTTGCAAAGGGCTGATGGCACCCGAGGGCTCCACTCATCATTATCAGCATCGTCGTTATCGTTGTCATTATTATCATTATCATAACCGCCACCGCTACCGCCACTGCCACTGCCACTGCCACTGCCACTGCCACCGCCACTGCCACTGCCACTGCCTCTGCCACCGCCACCGCCACTGCCACTGCCACCGCCGCCGCCACCGCCACCGCCACCGCCACCGCCACCGCCACTATCACCTCTACCTCCACCGCCACTGCCACCGCCCCGCCCCGCCCCCGGCTTGAATCGATGGTTTCCTAACACAGCCGTTCCCTCCTTTCGGGTATGTGTATACCTCATAAATAAACCTCCAAACAGCAAGACCATCGCGTTCGTCCAGTGCGGCAGTCCTTGGGTGACTGTCGCCCTCCCGTCTGCCCGTTGGTTGTGGTACCAGCGGTGACCTCTCCTCCAGCGGCTGGCGGCGGCCGACCTGCACGTGCTGAGCTCGACGGCCGGCTCTCTCAGCTCCGGCGGCGGCCGAGCCGTCCGCCAAGCGCTCCAGTTTCTCTGTGACGTCACGCTGCGGGACTTCCCGGCCGAGGTGCTGGTCCAGCGGCCGGCCCTGCTGCAGGTGGGTGGGCGGGACGTCACGGCGGGGTGGGGTGCTGCGGCGGAGGCCGCCACTGGGTGGTTGCAGACGGCTGCCGGATGCACAGTGTGCGCGTGTGTGTGAACACGTTTGCGTGGTGGACGCGTTCAAGTTGTGGATGCGTTTCACACGTGTTCCGGAAAGCATCAGTAACATTCGGGTTTGAAGGATGAGTCCACTGCCTCCAACTCCTCCGCCGTTAGCCTGTCCTTGGTAGCCACTGCATTGCTCATTGCAGCATTGCAGAGGGCGGAGGCATGCGAAGTTGTGTTTTCGTCACGATCGGCACGCACTGTTGACCAAGTGATGCACGGATGCACGGATGGTTGTGTGTGACTGACGCCGATGGCCCGTCCCGCTCGGGGCGTCGGGCTGTTCTGCCCGGTCGTCAGTCCGGCGATCAGCCCTCTGGTGGTGACGAGTGCTGTCGGTGGTCCGGTCAGTGGCCGCTCTCGGCCGTGTGGTGACCCCTGTCCCGTCCGGCAGGCGCTGTTCCACGTGCTGGTCTCGACGGAGGAGTCCGACACGGACGTGATCCTCTCCTGTCTAGAATGTCTGTGCTCGCTGACAGAGCGGCTGGAGCAGCGCTGCCGGCTGGCCGGCTTGGCCGACGCGCGCCAGCCCGACACCACGGTCAGTGGGCTCCCAGCTGACCGGACCTGGTCCCGGCTCTCGACCCGGTCTGACCCGACCCAGCCTGGCCCGACCCGACCCGACCCGACCCGACCCGACCCGACCCGACCCGACCCGACCCGACCCGACCCGACCTGACCTGACCTGACCTGACCTGACCTGACACGACACGACCTGACCCGGTCAAGCTGACGTCGGCCTGTGACCATTCCTGATGGATGAGACTAGGGGTGTAATTTTGCAAAATGAGGTTGTGGTGCCAGCTGAATACAGTAAAAATGAAGAAGTCTGCCAAAGTACACCAACAGATGGCTTCCTCCCCGAGTTTGGCCTACTAACTCAAAGTTCAGGAGGGGGGCTTGAAGCCAAAGTTGGGGAGCGATGCGCTGGAGCCCACCCCCCGCACCTGAAAAGGTAACTACAACCCGGTGTGGTGACCTAAGCTGATGGGACCGTTATCGTAACCTGTTTTGTGTTCGGTTTTAGCCCTCTTTAATTTCTGCCGAGTGAGCCCTTACCTCAACTGTACCAATGAATTGCTTTTGCTAATTACTGAGTCGATATCCATCGACATTTTTTTTCGTTGCGAGAAGTGCCTCAAGACATTGAGACAATGCTCCGATCTTGTTAAGAAGCGTGCTGTTGCATAAGTTTTTTATAGTTCTTGTTAGGCATTAAGTTTGCTGGAGTCAGCTGTGCCTCATTCGACCCAATGGATATCAACTGTGCCTAAGACATGTCAATAGCTGACCCAGCCCGGACCGGCCTCTCATTGACTCCAGCCGGACTGTGGCGGGGACGAGGACGCCTTGTCAGCCGGCGCGCTGTCGCTGCCGACGGCCTGTGGTCAGCTGCTGAGCCAGGCGCTCAGCTGCCTGTACGTGCGCCACTGGGCGGCGCTGCAGGCGGCCGGCCGGCTGGGCCGCGCCGTCTGTCGGCTGGCCGCGCGGCTGCCGGCGGCGCGCAGCTGGACCCGGTCCGAGGACGCGCCGGCGCGCGCCGCCCTCCTTAAGGCGCTCCAGGTGAGCCGCCCGGCCGGCGCGACCCCAGGCCGGGTCGGCGTCCGTCAGAGCCCGTCTGTCGCTGACCACGCATGGGGAAGCAGCGACGGAATGAAGTGAACCCTGTGGTGCTCCCGCCGGGCCGACGGGAAGTGTTTGCCGCTGGGCCGCTTAGTTTCCCCGGATCTTCACTGTTTATTATCCTCACAGCGGATTGATGAACTGTTGATGACCGTATGAAACTTGTCGGAAATCTTAAACTTAATTTCGCGCAAGGGAAGGTGAGAAGTTTTAGAGGAAAAACCATTACCTAACATTTCACCAACGTCAAAAGCTGTGTATGACCTCAAGCAAAACAAACGACGGTTTTACACACCCATTTGTATCCCCGATGAAGCGGCTCCCCCCGGCCGTCGGCAGGTGTTCCACGAGGTGCTACAGTGGCACCGCAAGTGTTACGAGGCCGGCGACAGCGTGCGGCTGCACCGCTGCGCCTGGCTGATGGCCGCCAGCCTGCTGGCCGACGCCTGGTCCGCCTTCCGGCCTCCGGGTCGGCGCGGCTGGGCGCCGCGCCCTCGTCTGCTGGCTGCGCCGCTGAGCGTGCTCTTCGACGAGCTGCTGTTCGCGCAGCAGCCGTCGCTGCACGGCCGGCTGCTGGCGCTGGCCGGCGGCGGCAGCTGCGCGGCGCTGTGGCAGCGGCTGACGCGGCTTCGGCGCGCCATGGAGGCGGCGCGCCACCAGGTGAACGACCCCGGCCTGGCGGTGGCGCTTGCCGCCGCCGAGAGCGTCGAGCTCCATGAGAGCGCGCCGCTGACGGAGCGCGCCGTGGCTGCTGCCTGCGCGGCGGAGCCGGAGGCGGCACCGGCCGCCGGCCGCCTCCTGCTGCGCCTGCTGACGGCGCGCCCAGCCGCCGTCCGCGTGGCCGCTTACCGGCGCGCGGCGGCGGCGGCGCGCGCCGCTCTGCGTGACGCCGGCCGCCGCCGCACGCCGGCGCTTCTGCAGCCGGCTCTGCTGGAGCTGGCACTCGCAGAGGGTCTGCTCGAGCCGCAGGTGAGGGGTGCTCTGGAGGGGGAGGGATGGAGTAATTGGCTGGCGGAAGCGGGCAGAGTTAGTAGCAGAGTCAATAGCAGCTTTTACCTGAGCGTTGGCAGGCATAAGCCACAAGTGATGCTAATATCGACTATATTGACTACGGGACCAGGCCTACTGAAAAAGCCTGTCTTTTTTCTTTTGTCCAAAATATAACACAGATAAGGGCGCCGCATGCGCGCAGGGGTTGGATCGGGGGTGGGGGAGGTGCGAGCTTTTTAGCGAAACCTGAATCCTCTTACGCACTCGGCCTGTGTATAGCCGGCTGCTGCTGAGCTGGCCTGTAGAAGCAAGTGAGATGAGTCGCATGCGTGAGCTGTCTGGCGTTCTTCAGCAGCGGCCAGAGGCTGTCGGCCGCCCGAGTGGATCTCTGCCCGCAGCTGGAGGGATCCGCGCGGTCGGTGCGTCAGTGCCGGGAGTCGGCCGCTCTGAATGTCTCAGCCCGAGCGCCTGTCGGCAGACGGAGGCGGACGCCACTGACCTGGTGCTGTACCTGGTGACGGCCGAGGCCTGGGAGCCCGAGCTGCGGCCCCATCTGGTCGCCGCCATGCCGCTCTTCCTCTGCCACGTGACCCGGCCTCAGCTGACGCGGCCGCTGAATCACGTGGTCGGCCTCTGCAGCAGCGAGGTGGGCCGGCGCCGAGTCACGTGTCCGGAGATCGCCGGCGCTAGCCGGGTCACGTGATCGGATCACTGAACACTCGGTCGGAATGGAGTGTGATCCTGACCGTCCAACGTGGGCACGGTCGCCGTTACAAGGAGAGGGCCTTAAAACAGTGCTCCAGAGATATTTGCGTTGCCAGCTGGTACGGGTTTGTGTTGTGCCTTATTCATAACCAAAAGCTGAGTATGTTCTACAGGTATGTGTCTCATCTGCATTGCACGTGGGCTTCGAGAATGTGCTTGCGTCGCATGCCTCTCAGACCAAGGTCAGGGGCGGTACACTGACCCCGTCCCGTGCGCGGCAGCACCTGCGCAGTGACCTGATCCTGACCTCGCACGGCAACCGGGTCTGTCGGGAGGACGCCTGGTCTCGGATTGTGAACCGGCTGAGTGCCCAGAATTGCCGTGAGTGCCGCCCGGCCATGGCCGGTGCGCGGCCCCCAGAGCCTGCCGACCACTGTCTGATGTTGTCTCGCTGATGCAGGGTGTATGCACTGTGAATGCTACCTCCTGGCCGCTTTTAATGCCATCATTAAACTGTTTTCGTCAGGTCATTTTGTACCACCAGGATGTCACCCTGCTGCGGCCCAAAGCGACACGCGACGCTGCACTCCAAGCCTGTCGAGGCTGTCTCGTTCGGTGACTGTGCCCAGGTCTGCCGCCGGCGACTCATGCGGCGTCCATCCCCGGTCCAGCCCAGTGACCGCCGCCTCTGGGCTCGTGTCCACAGGCGCCGCCCTGCTGCCCGACCTCGGCCAGCTGGGCGACCTGGACCTCAGCCAGCTGATGCTGGTGGAGGAGCCTCCGCCGGTCACTAGTCGGCTGGGAGAGGTTAACGACGTGAGTGGGAGGTCGTCCCCCCCCCCCCCTGCGAGGCCGCCGTCTCGCGCTGCCCCGGGGCCAACGGCGGTCACCCCGTCCCATTTTTTTCTTTATTCCAAAGCATCATTTCCAGGTCAGGCCGGTTGGCTGCGTGACCGTCCCGTGGTGAGCTAAAGCCTACACTCGCCCCGCTTGTGCTGTGTCAGTCTGCCTTCACCTCGCCACCGCGCCTGCGGGCGTTTATCTGCCACGTTGGCGCGGCGCTGGTCAGCGCTGCTGCCGCCGCTGACGGTGCTGGTGCCGCCTGCGCAGGTGCTGACGATGACGGCGCTGCTGCCGCTGGCCTGGTGCGGCTCGGCCTCGCTGGATGTGCGGCGCGCCACGCTGGCGCAGCTGGAGGTGCTGCTGCAGGACCCCGGCCTGCACCGCGCCTTCCTCGACCACGACGGCTTGCCGCACCTGCTGCGGGTCGTCACGCGCGCCATCATGGTACGGCGACCTCGCCGCCGCCCGGCCGGTCCGCGCCGCTCCCGGCGCCTTGTCGTCCGGCCTCCGCGTGACGCCGCTGCTGGGCCCGGCGGCGGAGAGCAGGGGAGTGGATAACCGGGTGTGAGTGGTGACAGCGTCTGGCATGAGTGGAAACATGCTTTAGTAGTGTGGTGTCCGGAGTTTCCGATGGCCGTGGTGACGTGTCCGGAGTGTCCGGCGCACCCGTCTGCCGCCGTCGGTGACCTTGACCTGCCGTCGGCAGCGGGAGCCCGACCTGACGCACGACGTCAGCCTGCTGCCGCACTGCGTGGCCATACTGCGTCACCTGGCGCTCTTCTCCGCCGGCTGCCGGCACCACCTGGGCGACGACGGACAGTTGCAGCTGCTGCTGGTCCGCGGTACGTGTCAGGGCGACAGGCTAGCAGCCCTGCTGCCATCGCCTCCAGGGCGACGACGGACAGTTGCAGCTGCTGCTGGTCCGCGGTACGTGTCAGGGCGACAGGCTAGCAGCCCTGCTGCCATCGCCTCCAGGGCGACGACAGAGCTGCAGCTGCTGCTGGTCCGCGGTACGTGTCAGGGCGACAGGCTAGCAGCCCTGCTGCCATCGCCTCCAGGGCGACGACGGACAGTTGCAGCTGCTGTTGGCTTGCAAGTGAATCCCCTCGCCGACGGCTGCCAACTCCAAACTGATAAGGGCACCTAAAGCTGCCGCCAGCTGATGTATCCTCTGAGCGGCCTGGAGGTGTCAGCCAGGCTTTGATGTAATACCGAACCCCAATGATGGACCAGAGGGTCGCGTTACCCGCGTGCCTGCCTTGGCCTTAGACTGGCAATACTGGCGGCAGAAGACAATGCATAGAGAGAGAAAAAAAAAACGGCTGGCCATCTGTGGACTACGGCTTTACATGCGAGCTGTTGGTGCAAGACGTCATGCTTCAAATGTTGAACAAAACGATCTCCTCGCATATTGTTGACGAAACAAGAGCAACGTTTGTTCGCGCGTGCCAACGCGCGTTCCTCTCGTTTCGTGTATGCTGTCTGCGTTGACCTGTCTTTGTGCCGCCACCAGTCGTGCAGTAAGCTTTGTCTTGTATTGCGCAGTTCATTTGCCATGCACGCTAATTGCCTCGTGGAGATACCCGTGCCTCTGTTTGGTGGAAACCTGCAAGCGGATACCGCCAGTAGGTTTACACGGTTAAATCCTTCAAATACCAGCCACCGACACTCGTGTCCCACCAGTGGCGTCCGGTTCCCCTCGTCCTCGCGTCCATCTCGGCTAACAAGGACCACATGAATAGGCGACGGTTGGCGAGCAGGCAGGCGACATGTTGAGTGGTTGCTTCGCGGTGCGTTACTGTACTGCCGCCGCCGCGTAACTACGGCGCTCCAGTCTGTCCTCGAACGGCGGTCGCCAGACCGCAAGACCACGCCCAGCTGTGTGACGCCGCTGGCCCCGCCGGCAGTACTGCTGATGTTCCGGCTGGACGCGCAGGTGCGCGCTGCCGCCGTGCAGCTGCTGCTGGCCATCAGCCTGGACGGCCAGCTGATCTGTCGGCGCGCGCGTGGCCAGCTGTGGCAGCTGACCGTGCCTGAGCTGCTGGCCACGGCCCTGCGGCTGCCATTCGTTACAACCGTCCGCGGTATGTGCCGGCCCGGCGGCAGGGGGGGGGGGGGCTGTCAAGCGGCGGGACGCCATATTTGCCGGCGCGGCGTCCCGGCGGCAGGGGGGGGGGGGGGGGCTATCAGGCGGCGGGACGCCATACGTGCCGGCGCGGTGTCCCGGTGGCAGGGGGGGGGGGGGGGGGGGCTGTCAGGCGGTGGGAGGCGATCATTCAGTATAAGAGTGGATGCATTTGTGTGGTTTACACGCTCCATTGCTCACGAGCGAATCGAAAAGTAATTTGCGTCCTACATAACTCGAGCCTCACAAGCTGCAAATAGCTAGCCATTCGTCCATGGTAAGCTATCGCGTCCATTGCAGCGCAGTGCGGGTGTCTCAAGTGCTCAATCTCCGACCGATATGCCGGTGATCGCCATGTGGGTTTCTGCTGTTTGGGCGGGGCTATGGTCACTGAGCGCGGACGTGGGTCCCCCTTGGATCCTCGGTTTTTGCCTGGTGCAGCACTGTCGCTCAGTCAGCCCGCCTCCATGTCAGACCACCGTTTGTGATAGTCTACGGGCCGGCGAGGTGCCAGCCGTTGGCGCCGTCCTGGGCAGGTGGGTCCACCGATGTGCCGGTGGGCGTTCGGACGGCGCCGGCTCTCGGGGCCTGCCGCCGCCGTCGGCAGCGCGGCTGGTGACCGCTGACACGGCCGTGCCCCTGACGCCAGAGCGCCGCCGGCTGGTGACCGCTGACACGGCCGTGCCCCTGGCGCCAGAGCGCCGCCAGCTGGTGACCGCTGACACGGCCGTGCCCCTGACGCCAGAGCGCCGCCGGCTGGGCCGCGAGCCCGGGGAGCTGCCGGCGTCGGTGCTGACCGAGCCCGTCACCGTGTGCGGCCAGCGGGTCAGCTGCGCCGGTCTCCTGCGCACCGCCTGGGGCCTGGCCTGGCACGGCGCCCTGGCAGCCCAGCCCGCCCACGCCGAGTACAGGTACGCGCGCGGGCCGCGTGCCGGCGCGGCGTCAGAGCAGTGAAGGATGCCACGGGTGGCCAGTTGGTCGTGTTGCTGGTGTGGACGATATGCTTGGTCGGCATATCATTTTGACAATTATCATGAGTCATACAACACAGAGGAGACCCATTCACTTACATCGCGAATCACATTCACTCAGGCTCTATATTTACTATGCCATTTTTTCTTATCATATCGTAATGCAACACTCCGCTATTGCATTTTAGGTATGCGTCCTTCCGTGTTTGGCTCGTAATGCCAACTTTGGAGCATACCCGGTTATTCGTACGCCCTTATCGTTGTCCCATGAGCACCGTTATTACTGTTTGTTCTGGATGGAGACCTTTCCACAGACGTTGCACACACACACACACGCCACCTCTAACTGTGCCGTGACCGTGCCGTGGCGTATTCGCCGCCGCAGCGAAGCAGCTGCGTCTGCCGGAGTGGCAGCTGGCGGCCGCCGGCGCCGGGCAACTGCAGCTGGCCGCCGACGAGGCGCTGCAGCAGCTGGAAGGCGTCTCGTCGCACACGGCGGCGCGCGTGCTGCTGGCCCAGCTGAGCTGTTACGCCAGCCTGCACGGCCAGCTGGCGGCCGGCGAGAGGTGGGTTCGGCCGCCGCCGCCGCCGCCGCCGCCGCCAGGTTCCCTGCCGCGGGCCGAGTGACAGCTGGTCTCAGATGACCTCGGTCTGCCGGCGCGTGGACCGTGGGCCCTCGTTTGGTGCGCCTGCGGCGGTGCTCGTGTGGTGTGTGCCGTCCGGCCGCGGGAGGCCGATCCGACGTCTCGTGTCGAGAGGTCGCTGTCAAGAGTTGGCCCGTGAGGTGGAGGCCGGTGTTGGCGCGCCAGCTCGCTGTCGTCCCGTCTCGTGTCGAGAGGTCGCTGTCAAGAGTTCGCCCGTGAGGTGGAGGCCGGTGTTGGCGCGCCAGCTCGCTGTCGTCCCGTCTCGTGTCGAGAGGTCGCTGTCAAGAGTTCGCCCGTGAGGTGGAGGCCGGTGTTGGCGCGCCAGCTCGCTGTCGTCCCGTCTCGTGTCGAGAGGTCGCTGTCAAGAGTTCGCCCGTGAGGTGGAGGCCGGTGTTGGCGCGCCAGCTCGCTGTCGTCCCGTCTCGTGTCGAGAGGTCGCTGTCAGGAGTTGGCCCGTGAGGTGGAGGCCGGTGTTGGCGCGCCAGCTCGCTGTCGTCCCGTGACGTGTCGAGAGGTCGCTGTCAAGAATTGGCCCGTGGCGCGCCAGCTCGCTGTCGTCCCGTGACGTTTGGCTTCCTCAGCAGGGGCGGCCCGGAGGACGCGTTCGGCGGGGAGGCGGCGGCCGACCGGTGGCTGCCCGTGCTTCGGCGCCACCTGCTGACCACGCCCGCCACCGAGCCTGACCGGCGCGTGCTAGCCGCCGCCCTGCAGCTGCTGCTGCTGCTGCCGGCCGGCGCGACGCTGCCAGACAGGTGGGCGGCGGGTGCTGCGCGCCGGCGGCGCCCCGGCGACCGAGAGGAGTCGTGCTGGCGACCAGCCAGACGCAGGTTACGGTCCTGCGAAACAGAGCACTTCCGTCAGCGTGCGAGGGAGATGGTATTCCGTGAAATAGTCTGACACTGGCGATGTGTCAAACCAGATGTTCAATCCTGTCCTTCAATCACATTATTCATTTTGCGTGGGTTTTGCAGTTGCATTTACAATAACAGAAACACACCGTTTCCGTATGTTTGGGTTTCGTCTGGCGCCCCAGAACCAGCCAATCGTCAAGTGAGGTGACCTGCTGACAGCCGCGAGCGCCGCTCGGGAGAGCGGGTGTCGTTAACCGGGTCGCTGTCTGCGCAGAGCCTTGGCGCTGCTGGTGGAACACAGCCGGCTGTTCACGGAGACGCTGGCTCGGGCGGCCGGCGAGCACCAGCTGGGCCACCACGAGACCGCACTCAGGGGTGAGGCACGCTCTCCCCCGCCCCCCCCCCCCCCCTCCCCTCTGTGTCCTGGGGTAGCCAGCGCCGGCGCTTGGTGTTCCTTAGGGAGTTGTATCCATTGCATTACTTCTGCATGGACTTGGCTCGTGCTTTGTTCCGGCTCACGTTGGGCTGACAATCTCAGGTCTGACAGCGTATTTGCCACGACTCTGACGCTCGGGCCGCCGGCTGCCCCCGCCTGACCTCACCTGACCTCGCCTGACCTGGTGCTGGCAGCGCTGCAGCTGCTGGCCGAGCTGTGCCAGCGGCCGGGGCCGGGCGCCGGCGCGCTGCTGGACGCGCTGGCCGTGCGCGTGATGGAGGCGGCGGCACGCGCCGGCTCGGCGCAGTACTACAGCCTGGTGAGCGTGCAGCGCTGCGCGGCCGTGCTGCGCACGGCGCTGCTCTCGTCGCACCGGCTGGCCGCCTGCCTGCTGCCGGCCGTGCGGCTGCTGCGGCAGCTGAGCGGCGCTTTCCTGCCGGCCGGCCGCACCACTGACAGCTGCATGGGCGCCGGCGTGCTGGCTTCGGCCGCCTTCTGTCTGCACGCCGTGGTCGAGCGGCAGGTGAGCCTCCGGGCGCGGCGCCGGAGCTAGGCGCGACGGTGGGGTTGAGCGCGGCGCCGGAGTTGGGGGCGACGGTGGGGTTGGGTGCGGCGGCGGGGGGTGGGTATGGCACCGGAGGTGGGTGCGGCGGCGGAGGTGGGCGCGACGGCGGTCAGACGCAGGCGATGCTTTGGTCAGACCTAGCGAAACGTGTTGCTTTGATGCCTACTTTTGATGTTGAGAGTTGTCACCCTCAGTTGGTGGCGGCGGCCGGGGTCACCACCCTGAGCGGGTCCCGACTCCGGCAGAATGACTGGACGGAGGAGTGGGCCGGCTGCTGGCGCGCCGACGTGCCGGACGGCGGTCAGTTGTTGTGGCTGGCCGCCTTCTGGCGACACCCGCTTCTCCAGATCAGGTGCGACCGGCGCCCTCTCACAACGTCGGCCTGTCTGCCGTATACTCAGCCAGCCAGTGGCGGCTGTTTCAGACATGTGCTACCTACGTCCTGCTGCGACAACCTTTGCCCGCCCTAAGCATGCCCTAGTTTGGATTACAGCTGGGCTGCATAGGGCTTTACGTGTTGTAAAAGGTCTGCATCATCGCGCCCAGCCACGCTAACCGCTTGCTAGTCCGGTCAAGCAGCGCGCCCGCTGGGACATTTAGTCGGCACCCCCCGATTTGGCGTTGTCTTCCCGAAATGCTTGAAATTACGATACATGTTTCACGGGAAGAAGTCCGCCACCCGGAATGAGTCACCCCAGCTGTGAACGTTTCGCTTGAGTGCGCACCGTTGCTAACGAAAGGTTATCAGCGAGGACAGGTTTGCGAGTGTAGTCCCGGACACTGCGTGACTGTTGAGTGTTGAGTGCTCTCTTGCCGGATGACAGATCTGCTCCCTTTGACAGATCTCCGTCCTCTGCTCGCCGGTGCATGTTGTCCCTGCCGGCTGACAGAGCCCCGCCCTCTGCTCGCCGGTGCATGTTGTCCCTGCCGGCTGACAGAGCCCCGCCCTCTGCTCGCCGGTGCATGTTGTCCCTGCCGGCTGACAGAGCCCCATCCTCTGCTCGCCGGTGTGTGCTGTCCCTGCCGGCTGACAGAGCCCCGTCCTCTGCTCGCCGGTGTGTGCTGTCCCTGCCGGCTGACAGAGCCCCGCCCTCTGCTCGCCGGTGCATGTTGTCCCTGCCGGCTGACAGAGCCCCGCCCTCTGCTCGCCGGTGTGTGCTGTCCCTGCCGGCTGACAGAGCCCCGTCCTCTGCTCGCCGGTGTGTGCTGTCCCTGCCGGCTGACAGAGCCCCGTCCTCTGCTCGCCGGTGTGTGCTGTCCCTGCCGGCTGACAGAGCCCCGTCCTCTGCCCACCGGTGTGTGCTGTCCCTGCCGGCTGGCAGAGCCCCGTCCTCTGCTCGCCGGTGTGTGCTGTCCCTGCCGGCTGACAGATCCCTGTCCTCTGCCCACCGGTGTGTGCTGTCCCTGCCGGCTGACAGAGCCCCGTCCTCTGCTCGCCGGTGTGTGCTGTCCCTGCCGGCTGACAGATCCCTGTCCTCTGCCCACCGGTGTGTGCCGTCCCTGCCGGCTGACATAGCCTCGCCCTCTGCCCCCGGCCAGGTGGGGCGGCCTGGCTGCTGCGCTCAGTCTGACCCGGTGGCCGGAGGGTGCGGTGCTCGTCACCTGCCAGCTGCAGCACGTGCCGGGCGGCGTCTGGGGAGCCGCGCTCGGGTGAGGCGTCATCCAGTGACGGTCCTGCCAGACTGGGCCGGGGCTGCACCAGATGGTGCACCCGTCGCTCTCGAGTCGCTCGCGTGTCGTGGCCACGTAGCCGCCGACGTCAGTCCCGCCTCGGTCGCGCTCTCAGTTTGCATAAGTCTGCAATTGAGGTTTGGTATGGAGTCGGTTTTGTTCAATTTATGGATGAATATTGTATGTATTTATTAAGATTTTCCCGTTACGTAGGCATTCGTTGACCATTGTACTTTAGTGCCATCTCGTGGGGCCTCGGACGCCGAGCAGTTTGTCATTGCCTCACGACGTGGTGTGTTACGCCGCTGTTGCCGACACACGCGGCCCGGGCCGTTCCAGCATGCTGCAGGACGTGGCCGAGGCGCCGGCTGTGCGCGAGCAGGCCGCCCTGCTGCTGGCCAGCCTGACGTCCCACCTGCTGGCCGACGAGCCCGGCCAGCTGGCCGGTCCAGAGCTGGCCCACGCCGACGCCCAGGTGCGAGACGGCGCGCCTGACGGAGTGTTCCATGTCACTGTTGTGGCTGATATTACTGCTCGGTGTGGCTGATGCGTCCTCTTCGTGACAGGTATGTTTCGTGTAACTGGTATGTCCTTTCCGTAACAGGTGTGCTCATTGTGACTGGTGTGTTCTTTCCGTGATATGTGTGCTTTGAAAGATTAGTGTCACCTCTCCATGGCAGATGGGCTCCGTGTGACTGGTGTGTCCTCTCCATGACAGGTGTGTTTTGTGTGACCGGCGTGTTCTTTCTGTGACAAGTGTGCTTCATATGATCAGTGTGCCCTTTCCATGGCAGATGTGCTCCGTAGGACTGGTGTGTCCTCTCCATAGCAGGTGTGCTGTCTACGTGACAGATGTGCTCCGTGTGACTGGAGTGTCCTCTCCATGACAGGTGTGCTCCGTGTGACTGGTGAGTCCTCTCCGTGACAGGTGTGCTGTCTACGTGACAGACGTGCTCCGTGCGGCTGGTGTGTTCTCTCCACGACAGATGTGCTCCGTGTGACTGGTGTCCTTTCCATATCAGGTGTGCTCCGTATGACTGGCGTGCCCTTTTCATAGCGGGTGTGCTCCGTGTGACTGGTGTGTCCTTTCCAAAGCAGGTGTGCTCCGTGTGACTGGCGTGCCCTTTTCATAGCGGGTGTGACTGGTGTGTCCTTTCCAAAGCAGGTGTGCTCTGTGTGACTGGTGTGTTCTCACTATGACTGGTGTATCCTCTCCGTGACAGATGTGCCTGACAGGCGTGCCAGCCCTGGTCGCGCTGCTGGAGCACGCCGACTGGTGTGACCAGCTGTGTAGCCTGCTGGTGCAGCTGCAGGGCGGCTCGCCCTCGGACCCCGGCCAGGTTCGTCTCGGGCGCGTCCTGTTCCACTCTGCTGACGCCCGGCTCGGCCCGGTACCGCGAAGGGGACATGAAACGAGCGGGTGAACACCACAGAGCGGGGACGGACGGACGGTGCGACGACAGCCCAAAGACAAGACTTGGTGGAGGGAAGGCAGACGAAGCAGAATCAGAGCATCGACGAACGTTTGGACGATATGAGAATATCATCATTGATCTGAGTGCCACATTTTGCTGCGACGCATGAGGTGGATGGCGGCCATTCTGCGCTCTGGCTGTTCAGTGCTTTAAGAGCTTGCTAGACAGTATTTTATTACTGTTAGATCGTGGCTCATTGCCCGGTACGTGAAAAGGCCCTGCTCTCGCAGACTGTCAAAGCTCGTTTAGTAGTCTTTTTTATTCGCTGCGTACGCGCAACGGCTGCGTGCACTCGTGTTAGTTATCGTGCTTGCATTAAACGATGATCACAGGCAGGAACATTGCCAAACAATCTGTCTACACGTGGTGTTTATTTTGTTTGATAGTTTCACCGTGCGTTGCCAATATCCATTGGTGAGCCAATGTTCCGCTCGTGTGGGACGATGTTAGTACCGACATAGCTCCTGAATCAAAGAACATCATCATCATCATCATCATGTCAGGGTCAAAATGTGTGAACAAGCGTCCACTGCCCTGCGATGCGGCTTGTCAAGCCTGTGACGTTACCCCCTCGCCGTCCGTCGGCACAGAGCTCGACGCCGGGACTGGCGGCGGCTGCACTGCGCTTCACCCACAACGTGGCCGTGCTCAGCCCGGCCGACCTGGTGCCGCGTCTGGGGGACGTCGTCCATACGCTGGTCCAGTGAGTGGGGCTGCAGCTGCCGCCTGAGGCCTGGCTGCCGGCCGCCGACGCGTGCAGCAGCCGAGCGGGCGTGGACGCTGCCGAGGTGTTCAGTTGAGAGTGACGCTCTCTGTACCGTGCCTCGCCTCGCCTCGCCCTGTGACGCTGCCGTGCCTCGCGTCGCCCTGTGACGCTCTCCGTCCCGTGCCTCACTTCTCCTCGCCGTGTGACGCTGCCGTGCCTCGCCTCGCCCTGTGACGCTGTCCGGCCGCACCGTGCCTCGCCGCGCCCTGTGACGCTGCCGTGCCGTGCCGTGACTCGCTCCCCCGGCGACGCTGCCCGGCCGCGCCGTGCCTCGCCTCACCCGTTGACGCTGCCGGGCCGCGCCGCGGTCCCCGGGGCAGTGTCGGTCGGTGACCTCAGCCCTGGCGACGCTCACATGCGGACAGGTCGAGCGACGAGCTGAGCCCGGGCCGCGGCTGGCGCGACTGGCCGCCGGCCGACACGGTTCCCTGCTGGACCGAGGCGCTCCGACTCTGCACGGCGCTGGTGCAGCTGGAGGCTCAGCACGCCGCCGGCTGCAGCCTGCTGCTGTGCGACCGCAGGCTGCTGGACGCCGCCGCCGCCACCGTCGTCACCAGCGGCGGTACGGGCACGGCTGGCGGCTGCCACGGCTGCTGGGACCGTGCGCGATGGGGTGCGGCAAGACACTCTGGCAGAGTGGCAGCCCGAGCGGTGCGATCAGAGAACCAGACAGGTCTCCTACAGCAATCGCGTGCATGTGGGATGCTACAGCGGGGAAAATTGAAGCGAACAGGATGGAGCCATATCTCTAGAAAGATGCTGGTGTGCCCTTGATTACCCCCGCGCAGTGCTGAGTGCAGTACTACTGGGAGCGATACTCCAGCACCCTTGCCCGACAGACACGGAGCTACGTGAGCGCCTGTTCGAGCTGCTGCTGTCGCTGCTGGCTGCCGACCAGGAGTCGGCGTTTAGCGCGGCGGCCGACCTACTGGCGGCGTGGCCGGAACTGTGGCGCGCGCTGCCGGCGGCGCCGGAGCTGCTGCGGCCGCTGCTGGCGCTGGAGGCCGGCCGGCTGCTGCAGCTGGTGCCCGGCCGGCCGCGGCTGGCCGGCCTGGAGGCGGCCGGCGCCGAGCTCTGCGCCGCGCTGCTGGCCGCGCCCGGCGGCCGCGAGCCGCTCGCCGCCCTGCTGCTGGTCAGCCCGGCTGCCAAACGGGCGGCGCTCGAGGGCCGTCTGCACTGCCGGCTGCGCGACCAGCTGAGGGAGAACATCGCCCGGCTGGTCACCGGCTCTCTCAGCGTACGAGCGGCCAGGGCCAAGGAGAAGGTGCGACGGGTGGGGGCGTGCGGGCTCGCCAGAGGGTGGCGATCTAGCTCGGCCACTGAGGGAGCGGACGAGGCTCACCACGGCTTGGGATGCCGTGGTAAAGGACTGAGTATCAGACATTGTGTCACTCACTGCAGCGCCCTGGAATTGCCTTATAAATTGCGTTGGATTTTCACTGGAAGTGAGACGTGCCGCCCTATTGGCCGAAGCGTCTCGTGAGCGCTCCAGCACCCAGCGCGCGACAGCGACGTGTGGATGGGATGGTACCAGCTCTGCTCCATCTGACGGCGTGGGACAGGAGCGAGCCCTTCTGGCCGACCCTCGCTCTCTGTCCGGAGCGTGTCCAGCTGCCTGACCTGCTGACGTACCTCCCGCTGGCCGACAGGAGCGCGCCCTGCTGACGGACCTGCTGTCCGACCTGGATCTGCTGCGGAATCTGATGAGCGGCGCCGCCGACGTGAAGCAGGCGCTGGCCGCCGACGGCCTGCCCAACCTGCTGCACAAGCTGTGGCCGTGGTGTGTTTCGTCGCGCCAGCTGACGGTGGCCGTGCTCTGCACGCTCAACACGCTGGCGGCCGGCTGTACGGACGGTGAGCAGCGGCGGCGGCGGCGGCGGCGGGGGTGTGATGACCTCACCCGCGGCGCCGCCTCCTCACCCCTGACGGTGGCTATGTGATGACCTCACGGCCCGCGGCGCCACCTGTACACCCTGACGGCGGCGGTGTGATGACCTCACGGCCTGCGGCGCGACCTCCACATCCTGACGGCGGCTATATGATGACCTCACGGCCCGCGGCGCCACCTGTACACCCTGACGGCGGCGGTGTGATGACCTCACGGCCTGCGGCGCGACCTCCACATCCTGACGGCGGCTACGTGATGATCTCACGGCCCCGCAGCGCCACCTCCTCACCCGTGACGTCATCTGCTCTCTGGCGCAGGTGCCCGCTGCCTGGCCTACACGAGTGCGGCGCTGCACCAGGGCCCGTCGGCATCGCCCTCCAGTAGCTCGCTGGTGCACGTGGTGCTGGACGACTGCCAGCGCCACCTGGAGCGCCGCCGCGCCGACGGTGGCGCCGTGCAGCGGCTGGCGGTCAGCTTCAGCCTGCTGGCGGCCGCCGCCCTCGTACAAGAAGGCCGCTCCATCATCTGTCGGGTCAGTGTGACTCTCTCTTTGGCGGTGAACAGGGCTGCCACATAATTCTCCGCGTCAGGCAGCTTCCTCCCCCCGCCCGCACCGTCTCCCGGCTTCGTTCCCCGCCCCGCTCTCCTCTGCTGCCTCCCTGCACCCTCCGTTCGCACTGCGGCGCAGCGGCGGCGATGTGCGCCAGTGATGCGGGGAGCTCTATTATAATTGCCTTTCTGCGTGGGCTGCGCTTCATTTGCTCAGACCTTTTCTTGGACATATTTTTATGCCTCCCCCATGGGTTATTCCTGGACGTCTCTCATTGTCAGGCATGCACTGGCGGAATGCGTACTTCTGGTTGCCGAGAGGCAGTATACTTTAGACGCAAAATCACTCTGACTTCACTTACAGGTGAATATCCAGAGATTGACCTAAGTGACGTTGTACTGCTTTTGACCGCTGTTGGACCTCACGTTGTATACTCGCTTCAACGGCACCATAGCCGCGCCGTGTCAAGAAACTGACGAGAGCACTAAATGGCGTAATCAGCCGATGCGCTCCATGATACGATTAGCACCGCCATAGCGTGGCTCTTTCATCTCCCCGCATAGCTCCCTTCTGAGCGTGCTGCCGTTCCCCACGGAGCTCTCCTGAGCGTGCTGCCGTTCCCCACGGAGCTCTCTTGAGCGTGCTGCCGTTCCCCACGGAGCTCTTCTGAGCGTGCTGCCGCCGTTCCCCGCGAAGCTCCTGAGTGTGCTGCGGTTCCCCGCGGAGCTATCTCCTGAGCGTGCTGCTGCCGTTCTCCGCGGAGACTTCTTCTGAGCGTGCTGCCGTTCCCCGCGGAACTCCCATCTGAGCGTGTTTCCGTTTGTCGACAGAGTCCGTTCCTGAGCGGGTTCCGGTTCTGCCGCGGCGAGCGCGTGCCTGACGGCGACCAGCGCCGCCGTCTGGCCGTCACCCGGCTCTGGATGCTGCTCATCAAGAACGTCACCTTCTTCGACGAGGGCCAGAAGGTGGTGGCGCGCGTGAGTGGGCTATGCGGCGGTGCTCGTCTCAGACGGCGCTGCACTCCTGGACTGGCTGACGCCGGCGTCGGGCTGATTGACATGGAGCGCTTCAGCGCATCACTCCGGCGGGGTCTCGCATCGCATCGCATCGCAGCCTCTCGCGCGCACGGTCCACCAACGAGCGTGGTAACTGATGAGTGTGAACACAATGCCGCTGGTTTGCGACTTCGGGGTCTGACGTCGATCATAGGAGGTGCCGGTAGTGTAGTGGTTAACGCGTCTGCGTTAACCACTGCACGTCTGGGAAACCAGAGGTACGGGGTTCGATTCCCCGCGGTGCCCGCGCTTCCGCCAGGGTGAAAGGCAGGCGACGCCATATAGCCTCAGCAGCTGAGTGCGTCGTAAATCCCCAATGGCACACACACACGCACACGCGCACGCACACGCACACGCACACGCACACGCACACGCACACGCACACGCACTTCAGTCCACCCCTGTTGCCAGTGTGCAGTGTAAGGAACGTGCTCTGAGCCGCCTCGACATAACCTGACCGGCAGATCCCCGAGGTGACGGGCTCCCTGGTGGCGCTGCTGTCGCAGGACGACCTCAGCCTGCGCTCGTCAGCCGTGCTGGTGCTGCGGAACCTCAGTTACCTTACCACTATGCAGACCGCCCTCATCAACACCGGTACGGACGGCCACCGCCGGCCGGGGAATCATGGCCCGGCGGCTGATGCCCAAAGGGCGGCCTTCATAATGCTGCCAGTGGTGCGGACGCTTTCAGTGCTTTTGACTCACACGGGTGTCATGATGGTAGAGTCGTGACATATCACGTCGTTGTGGCGGGGCGGCCGAAACAATGCCGGTGGAGAGGTGCGAACGGGCAGTCGTGGTCCCAGTGGCTCACCTTGGCTGGAGCGTTTCTGCGGTGCGGCCGGCGCCAGCCCCGCGCCGTGTGCTTGACCGCTCGCGCCCTGTTTCTGCCACCGCAGAGGGGTTCGTGGCGGGCGTGGCCTCGGCGCTACGCTCCGGTCATCCGGTGGCCTGCTGCGCCGCCGTGGCCCTCTGCTGGCAGCTGCTCACCAACAGCCGCAAGGCCAAGTCGGTCCTGACATCTGGCGAGCACTTGGAGACGCTCAAGTCCGCCGTCTACTCGTTAGACGGCGTCTCGGACGAGGAGACAGCCGACGTTTTGGCTCGCGTCAAGGAGCTGTTGAAGCAGGACTGTGCACAGGGCTTCAGTCGGCTGCCGACACATTTCTAGCGCGTTCGCGCCCGCACCGTTATCGAACGTAAGCGCCGGATGTTTGCAGCTCGCTTTATGGCGCGCGCGCCATGTGATGGCGCGGGCGTTTGGTCAGGAGATCCACTTTGACTCCCACCTATGGCTTTCACGTCGTCTGTTCCCCGTCGTTACCGCGATAATGGCTGTGGCGTAAGTTGATGCGTGTGTGTGCGTGTGCGTGTGCGCGTGCGTGTTCGTGTGCGTGTGTAGGTTTTCTCACGGTGGTCATGTTCCCAAAATATATTTTGCCACGTGTTTCAATTGATGGTTCGGCTGTCGCTTGCCGTTTGTGTTGTTGGAGTGAACGGCGATATGGCTTCGTCACAATCTATACTCCATGTGCCACATTTTTTTGTCATCTGACAGTACTCTCGTCGCCTTGTCAAACACGTGCTGCTGTCCTCTTAGCACTTACTACAAATCCAAAATTTCAGCAATGCAGTTGTTCACCGAGCTGAGGTGCAGTAAACGGTTTTGTAGCTCTCTGAATCTTCTTGCACACCTCTATCGAGGACCCTTCGGCGCGATCAAGTGATGATAATGATCCTTTTGTCCAACTGGCATGCGAGCCCCGTCTTCAACGAGGCTTGTCGACGTCTCTCGTCTGCCACGCCTGATCTCTTGGAAGTCTTGGAGAGGACGGTCAGTGAGGGAAGGACCGGATGAGAGCAGGGCGTCTGGTTAGCACACCCGCGTGTCAGCTGGGGTCGCCGGGAGCCGGCCAGGCTCCGCGGCTCTACCCGCGACACTGGCCTTAACTTCTGGCCGTTGGCGTCTCCCGAGCCCACATGTGTCCGAGCCTACACTCAGTCCGGCACAGGATGGGCTGCGGCGGTTACCCTGGCCGACACACACGTTTTGTAAGAAAGCCAAGGTGACAAGAACTTGGTTTCATGCTGTGTGCTGTGGGTTATCGGTATTATAACTTGTTCAATGGCGTAGTTTTCCTAACATCCAAATACATTCTAGAGGAAGCGACTGAATATGTGGAAGACAATGCCTTTATTAAAACGGTTATAGACATGTTCACAAGAGTATGTACAAAGCACCGACACGCGAACGAAACTTCACTCTTTGTAGTTTTGTCAATTTCGCTATAAATATGCAACGTGTAGATACGGTTGCATTACTTGACGATCACCGACCAGCATGTTCCCAGGAAAGAGTGCATCGATGTGAAGTGTAAGAAAACTAAACTATATCCTACATGCGCGATGGACTACGACTGAGTACGGTACACAGGCTTACATCACACATTAGCAATAAGCCGCCGTCGCCGATTCAACAACGCACATTCAAAGAGGTGATGATGTGGTGCATCAGGCATCCATCACACAACTACGGAACGTGAAGAACTCCATACCCGCCGCCAGCGCTCATGCGGCCGTTGCATGTACCGCTAGTTCGTTAGTTGTGCGACAGATGGCTCTGCTATCACAGCGCGCCGCGCTCAGGGTCGGTGGAAGCGCGTCAGATGGCGCGACTCCTGGTGCACGTCCATCTCTGCCGACTTGAAGTCGTTCAGCTCCTTGCGAATCATGGCCTTGTCGCGTGGTGTGAGGCGAGTCCAGGGCTTGTCGGCGCGTCTGTCGTACTGGTGCGCCTGCGTCACCTCCACGTATTCGTTGAAGTGGATCACCTGTCGCAGATCGCTTGCGTCACACAAGCGTCAGCCGGGCTGGACAGCCACTTCGCATCAGATCAGCTCAACCGGCGCATCTACGGATACTCATCCGTTCCAAGTGCCCAGCTACCCTGTCATGCGACGTGTGAAGTCAAAGTCAAAGTACCGGATTACCACACGTGCCCTCCGGATGACCGGCGTAGTATTCGAACAGGGCCGGCATGCACCGGTCGGCACAAAACATTACCATACGCCACAAAACGCTACGGTTCAAAGGCTTGCACTGACGGGCACCGCGTCTTGTGCCGCACATCGGACCGCGGTGCGTACTCAGCACAGCACTCTCTAACAGCCGACGCCCTCGGGTGCCCATGGGTTTATTTGGCTGCGAGGGAGAGGGTGAGGGCTCCCATCGCGACCCTGGTCACCTTGCGTTGTCTCAGCTCGTCGATGGTCGGCCGGAAGCTGAGCTTGCGCAGCAGGGTCACCTTGCGGTTCTCCATGTCACGAATGGAGTCCTCGAGCGACATGGCTGCAAACGGCAATCGGTCACTGACGTGCAACAGCGCGCTGTCACACCACCTGTTTCAAAAAAACATCTAAACCTTGGCCGTCTTAAACAGACACCGCATAAACCAAAGTAAGGTGCCGGTACGTTCTGCACACGCCATTCAACTTTGATATCACGGTGGGCCCAATCCACTTTGATCGCAGCATACTGCTCAAGCTGGGCATGGCTAGCAGGCCGGCTGTTCGCCAATCGCCGCTGTTCCTCTCAAGAAAGCCCCAGTCACGAGCCGTGCCTCGAGCTGGCCGCCTTCCACGGCCAGACTGACAGCAGCACCAGTCGTGGCGCTCTGGCAGCATAGCCCTCGGAAGCCTGCCTTCCCACACCACTTTCCCCGCTTATCGATAGCAGTTCGGCACGCACGCTACTACAGGTCATATTACAGGCCGAGTCATAAGAACCTCTGAAAAGTGAAGATGGGGGCTTTACTGTCCCTGCCACCACGCGCCCTTGGCGCCCGCCTGCCTCACTGGCCGCCGCGGCCGCCGCGGCACTCACTCCTGAGGATGTTGCGTTCCTCGAGCTCCTCGGCGGTGGGCCGCAGGCTGAGGCGCCGGTTGAGCCGGGCGCTCAGCTCGCAGCGCCAGTCGGTGCGGTCCTGCTCCGTCTGCAGCTGCAGGATGTTGCGGTCAATCAGTTGCTGCCGGTCGGGCCGCAGCGCCAGCTTCAGCTCCAGGCTGTCGGTGCGCTGCACGCGCGAGGCGAGCCGCGTCAGCACGCCGGTCTCGTCGTCGTCCCCGGACTCGTCCCGGTGCGACGAGGCACCGTCGCTGTCGTCGGGCTCGTCGACCGCCGCCACCGTCGCCGACAGTGACGACGACGGTCGGTCCTTGGTGTCGTGGCGGTCTGCACCGCCGCCGAAGCGCAGCGGCCTGTGGGGAGCGCGGCGGCGCTCAGACAAGGTCGAGGGCCAGGGTGTAGGGCTGAGACATGGCTGGAGCGCGGCGGTGCTCAGACAAGGTCGAGGGCCAGGCTGTAGGGCTGAGACATGGCTGGAGCGCGGCGGTGCGCAGACAAGGTCGAAGGCCAGGCTGTGGGGCTGGGACATGGCTGGAGCGCGGCGGTGCTCAGACAAGGTCGAGGGCCAGGCTGTAGGGCTGAGACATGGCTGGAGCGCGGCGGTACTCAGACAATACCGAGGGACGGACTGCGATGCTGATAGATGCTAAGGCTCATGGATTGCTTCTAGGACGAAACGCGGTCAGAACCCAAACATGCTGGTGCGGCATGAAGTGATGCTAAGGCATGTCTGCCCGTCCAGTGATGATGGTGAGGCGTGCTTCCGGTACACTGAACAAGATTGAGTTATAAGCACGTCGAACGCTACGTTACCAGTTGATTTGGGATCGGACATGAATCGTGACGGCCGTACTCGCAAGAAGCACACAAAAGAGCACAAGCTAGTGTGGAAAACATTACAAGCGTCTCGAGACTTCCTGCTGGTATCGGTATCACGCACCACCTACCCGACCAACCATTCCCCGTGACATTGACAGGCGACGGATTACTGTCAGATTTCATGAAGCAGACACAGACAAAGCGTGGTAGGACACATTTAAATCCATTTGCCATAGCCACCCAGCCGAAATCCCAACAGATCCACCTAATCCCCCACAGTGATTTCATTCCATTTGCCGGCCGAAGCAGTGCGCCACGCCGATCCGATGTGATCCTGAGTGCCACACAGAGGGGTTCTGCAGGCGCGCCGGAACCGGCAGAGGACTACGGCTGCGGCCAGCGGGGCACTGGCGTGTGGCTGCCGCCACCGGCCGCCGCTCTGTCCCACCTGAACCGGATCCGAGGCAGGCTGGGCATCCGACGGCTGCGGCAGAGGCACACAACAGGCGTCAGTGACTGCGCCCGGTGTCGACGGCAGCGAACGCCCAGCACGGACGACGGCACGGCAGGCGGCATCAGGACACGGGAGGTCGTGAGACGGCGCAGTCCGCGGCACTCTGCCGCGGACTGTCCCGCCTCACACAGTCCGTCGCGGACCGTGCCCTGCGGGGTGCGGTATAACCTGCCGCGCAGGCTTCTGAACTTTGCGTGTCTCATTCACTTATGGTGCTTTTATATGGTCCACGACGTAATCCAGGGGCCTTGGATCACTGATCATCCTGTCACAGGGCTATTGTAATACGACACGCGTCATTCTGACTTGCTAGCTATGCAACGTTAACTCTGCCATTTGGCATCACGACTTTGTCGTGATGATCTCTCATCCAGCAATCCACTCCAGTAAGCACGTCTCTCATCTCTTCCCTGGCACATATTCCTGGAGCCACGAGGCGCCGTTTCAAGTCGGTCAGCAGGGCAAACATCAGGGTCGACACAGCATCCATCACCCCCATCACTGCCTAACACCGGCCACAGGACCACTCCGCCCTCCGGTCTGATCGCGGACCCCCGTCTCACGTGCTGGTGTCGCGGCGCGTGGCCGCCGGTCGGGCTGGGCTGTGGTCAGCGGCAGCGGCGGCAGCAGCAGCAGCAGCAGCAGCGGCAGCGGCGGCGGCGGCGGCAGCAGCCGTAGCAGCAGCGGCTGCAGCGGAGGGCGGGTGGGGCGGCGGCGTCGTATCTCCGGTCGGCGGTCGCATCTTCTTGAGCGCCGACTTGAGCGGCTTGAGGTCGAAGCGTGGCTGGCGCGCGGGTACCTCCTCAGCCGCGGCCATCGGGTAGTACTCATCGTCGTCGTCATCGTACTCCACGCAGGTCACCTGCGTAGCCGGACCATGGTGACCGATCGGCCTCCGGAACTGGAGGTACGCAAGTGATCATGGAGCACACGGCACAAGCGTCACAAGGCTCCGTCACAATCACCAGAACAGGCGTTACTGAGGTCACCAGGGCAAGGGCGCTGACGTCACCATGCCAGAGAGAGAGAGCGAGAGAGAGAGAGAGAGAGAGAGAGAGAGAGAGAGAGAGAGAGAGAGAGAGAGAGAGAGAGAGAGAGAGAGAGAGAGAGAGAGAGAGAGAGAGAGAGAGAGAGAGAGAGAGAGAGAGAGAGAGAGAGAGAGAGAGAGAGGAGAGAGAGAGAGAGAGAGAGAGAGAGAGAGAGAGAGAGAGAGAGAGAGAGAGAGAGAGAGAGAGAGAGAGAGAGAGAGAGGAGAGAGAGAGAGAGAGAGAGGAGAGAGAGAGAGAGAGAGAGAGAGAGAGAGAGAGAGAGAGAGAGAGAGAGAGAGAGAGAGAGAGAGAGAGAGAGAGAGAGTTCTGAAGTGGCGAGGAGAAAGGCATTATTTAAGTTTAAGGTTTCGTGAATTACCGTAAGAGGAAAGATTACTGAGTCACCAGGAAAGGAGATGTTGAGATCACCAGAAGAAATGTTACTGATCAGCCAGCAGATGGGCTGCTGAAGTCACCAGGAAAGGGGATGCTGAGATCACCAGGAGAGATGTTACTGATCAGCCAGCAGATGGTCTGCTGAAGTCACCAGGAAAGGGGATGCTGAGATCACCAGGAGAGACGTTACTGATCAGCCAGCAGATGGGCTGCTGAAGTCACTGGGCGTGAGGTTACCAAGCTCATCAAGAGAGGGCTTACTGATGTACTCATGAGTGGGGATGTTTGGGTCAGTGGGAGAAAGTTGCTAAGATTACTAGAAAGAGGCCACTGAACACATCGAGTCGATTAAATGGGGCCACTACGCGAAAGAATTGGAGTAGTGAACGGCCCTGACACTGGTAACTAAGACAGGAGTAACTGAGGTCATTAGAAGATAAGTACAGTAAGTTCGTCAGAGATTGGCCACCGGCATCTCCAGATGGATAACTGACTTCTCAGCAAAGGTATTACCGATGCCACAGCGAGATGCTATATGGCTCATCAGGAGAGGGGTTATTTAAAAAAAAAATGAGGAAAGAGACCACTGAGACCACGAGAGGAGATCTCTACTAAGATCATCTGACAAAAGGAGGGTTCGTACGTCGTCAAAGACAGATTACTGTAGTTACCAGACAGACTACTGCAATCGCTAGGAGAGGGGTTTCTCAGGTCACCAGAGTCGCGTCTGCTGGGACTGCTACAGACATGCGTTCCACTGCAGGTCTTCAGATTCTGTTCGTTTCCAGTTTAAGGAGGCAGGCATGTCAGTGCTGTGGTCGGCCTGGTTAGTGCTCCGGAAACTACTGCAAAGTATTGCTACCGTCGTGTTCTCCGTTGACACCACGCGAGCGCAGCAGGAACTGAACACGTCGCCTGGATCATGCTCCGTTTTAAATATACGGAGACGTGTTCTTGCACGCGCTTGATCCCGTCCTAAACACAGCGTAATGTCCTTTGTAATATCGCTTCCTCGCCAGGGTACACGTTTGGCAGCTCTGGTGGACGGCGGTTCATGACGCGGTTTTGTTTGCCGCATTGTTTGCACAGGCTTCTTATGCGTTACTATTGTGCTCCGTTCACGTTCACGGCGTCAGCCAACTTGATTTGGTTCGCAACATTGGTTGGCTGCTTCATTAGGGGGCGAACAATGCAAGCTGGTAATTAAGAAACACAAATAATTTAGAGAAATTATTGTAAGCATATAGGTTCAGCTTTGTCAGATCATCCTAAGCACGCCAATTTTCTGACGCTCGCGCCAGTGGCCGTCGATCTAGCCGCTGCTCTATTGCTCATGTCGGGGCGTCGGATCCTTGAGAATTTCCAGGAAGTTGACGTAGTAGCAGTGTAAACACTGCGGCTTTACATCTAGCTCGGAATGCAATAACAGTGAACACAGGCTCCCGTTTCATTACGTGTGCCGTCTCGCCGGGCGCCAGGTGCGCGTGTTGACAACGGTCGGAGCCGTTTTCTCCCCCACATCTAGCAACGTCGGCGGCTGTATTGCCGTATTGACGCGGTCGGCAGAGCGGCCGCCGAGGCCAGAGAAGGAGGAGGGCAGAGCGCGCGCGCGCCGCCAGCCGCACCGCCGCCGGCCGGCCGGGCCCCGCCCCTGATGGAATTCTCGTGTCCCGCTGCCGCGCCGCCGCTCGGAGAAACAGGGCCGCCGCCGGGCACGTGAACACCCACTCACCCACCCAAGCAGCACGCGACACGTACCGACGAGGCATCCGACGGAAGGAAAACTTCGCAAGTGTGCAGACCCCGCGCAGGCGCAACCGCGCTCCATCGAATTGCGCCCTCATCTCCTGCATGACGTCAGCTCTCTTCGGACAACAGAAGTACCACAAGCAATGCGTTTTTGAACGGGCCTCCCAGTGCCCCATCGCACGACCTCTTCCCACCAATGTGCCGACGGAGCGTGGCTTCCCTGGACGTCAGAGGCGCATGTTTGGAAGATGGATCGTTACTGAATGTGCCGGCTGTGACCCTTGCGTGGTGAACATTTCATCGAACCGTACGCGGCGGTGATCGGGAGGGGCCGTTCATCTCGGCTGGTAGAGTACTTTAATAAAAAATTGACACGTTAAAGGTCAGCTACAAATTGTTCGGAGAAGGGCGCCCACCAGGCGAAAAGTCACGAACGCTTAAAACACAGGATGAAAATATGGTTCTATTAAGTCTCCACGCATGAAGCTTCCGTTAGGATTTCAACAGGAAAGTAAAGACAATTATGGCGAAGAAGTCCCCAATCCCAGCAATTCCTCACGTCTCCCTGCAGCGAAATGCCCCAAGAGATCATCGCAACGCTAATGCTACTACATCCGCATGCGCTTATGCATCCCTTATAAATATCTGTAATCAGCAGAGCTCACCTCTTCCCCACAAAATTCTCCGCAGCTCGGGTCGTCTCCACCCATCGTCGACGTCGTCGTCGTAGTCGTGGTGGTGGTCGTCGTCGTCGGCGGCGGCGGCGGGGAGGCGACCGTTTCATCCTGCCAGTCCCCGTTGGAGAACATGGGCGGCGGCGGAATGGGCCCGATCTCGGAGACGGAGAGCGGCGGCTCGGGCAGCTCTGCCAGCCTGAGCCCCCGCTCCGACGACGACGGCCGCAGCCCCATCCCTGGTGGCGTCGGCAGCGGCGCTGTCGGGCAGCGTCGCGCCACGTCAGCCGTCGGCGCAGGATTTTGGACAGGGCGGCTTTGGACGCAGGTTCAAACAATGTAGGGCTTGGGACACGACGGCATAGCATATAGGAGCAAACTTATGAATGACTCCACTTTGCGATTTCGGGCAGGCACGGCTCGGGGTTGAGTTGTCAAGTCGACTTCGATTCATGTTCATAGTCTGTTCCGATAGCTCAGTTGGTAAGAACCTCTGTTTTCCGTTTGAACCACTATTGGTACGGTGGATTCAAGTCACTGGAGACGCTCGCTACTCGCCATTGACAGAAATGGCCTGTGGTCAGTGGCAGCCATCACGCCAAAGGTCAGGTGACGTCAATGGGCGGTATGGACCGTGCCGAGCACCGCGACACGTGAGGCTTTCGCCGCAAAATTCTGCCGTTGACCTGGAATTCTACGATGGTATGGTGGGATGAGCGCTCACGCGGCAGGCATTGCTTAGCGTGGGCATCCCAGAAACTCATCGCTTCAAAAGGTTCGGACTTAGTTTCCGAAAAAAGCTCACGGCACGACAGCTCTCATCCGGCAGTAATAAAAACTCACGGCACAACAGCTCTCATCCGGCAGTTATAAAAGCTCACGGCACAACAGCTCTCTTCCGGCAGTAATAAAAACTCACGGCACAACAGCTCTCATCCGGCAGTTATAAAGCTCACGGCACAACAGCTCTCTTCCGGCAGTCATAAAAGCTCACGGGACAACAGCTCTCTTCCGGCAGTAATGAACGCTCACGGCACAACAGCTCTCTTCCGGCAGAATTTCCAAAGCAAGGGAATAAGACATGAGGGGGCTATTGGGTTCTTAAAGGCATACATAGGCCATTTTCCTCAATAACAAAGCAGATGTATACTTCTACATCTTATTTTGTTCATATGAAAGCTCGCATGCTATTGCGATATGCTGCTGCTTTTGAAATTCAGTCGACTCGCCATTGTTTCTCCTTTAACCTAACTATTCGTTCGTGTCATAGCAAAAATTAAAGGAGTACATTTCGTCCTGACTCAGCAAGAAATTGTCTGATTACCAATTCGATTCTAACCCCATCCGGAATCTGGCACATCCCTGCGTAGGGCAGGACAGCGCCGGACAGACACCGTTAGTCCCATGAGAGCCGGCGCTGTCACAGATCAGGCAGGACAGCGCCGGACATGCCACGGACAGCCACCGTCAGTCCCATGACAGCTGGCGCTGTCACAGATCAGGCAGGACAGCGCCGGACATGCCACGGACAGCCACCGTCAGTCCCATGGGAGCTGGCGCTGTCACAGATCAGGCGGGACAGCGCCGGACATGCCACGGACAGCCACCGTCAGTCCCATGGGAGCTGGTGCTGTCACAGATCAGGCAGGACAGCGCCGGACATGCCACGGACAGCCACCGTCAGTCCCATGAGAGCTGGTGCTGTCACAGATCAGGCGGGACAGTGCCGGACATGCCATGGACAGCCACCGTCAGTCCCATAAGAGCCGGCGCTGTCACAGATCAGGTGGGACAGCGCCGGACACGTCACAGACAGCCCCCATCAGTCCCATGAGAGCTGGTGCTGTCACAGATCAGGCGGGACAGCCGACGCTTGCCGGCATCAGCCGCGTCGACGGCGCAGCCGCTCGGGCGCTCGCGCCGGGCCGGGAGATTCCAGGAGTTTGGAACACCCCAGCGGAGCTGACCGGACTTGACCCCGATCACGTGACCGGTGGAAGTCAGCCGCGGCCTCACGGCCCGCTCGGCCAGGCGCCGTGCTCAGCTGAGCGGCTGGGCCGGCTGAGTGTTCCACCGTGATGGAAAGCAGCCGGCTGACCCCACAGGCACTGTTGCTTCTCATTCACTGGAAACGTCCATCACCGGACAACCACTTACTGATAACGGCAATCGGAGGCGCGGCCGTCCGACGGAGCCGCGGTCGCGGTCGGTATCTTTGACTGGCTCAGCGATGGCCTGGCTCAGACAGACCCTGTGGCTGGTGGTCTGTCTCTCTGACAGATTGTGGCTGGTGGTCTGTCTCTGTGAGATTCATCGCTGGCTTGGTTCTGACAGACCCAGGGGTGGTTTAGTTTTCCAGCAGACCCAGGGGTGGATTAGTTTTCAAGCAGACCCAGGGGGGTTTAGTTTTCTAAAAGACCCAATACTGGTGCAACTTTCTGACAGCTCCAGTCGTATTCTGGCCCTCTAGCCGGTCCGGTGATGGTCTACCTCTCTCACAGACCCCGTAGTGCACTGGCTGTCTGGATGACTCAGTGGTGTTCTAACTCTTCGCGCTCCGTTGGTAGTCTAGTTCTCAAGCGGACTCAATAGCATCGTCAAATTCTCGGGACATGTCTCGCGGTGGACTAGGTCTCATGATATCCCAGCACGGGTCTGGCTCTTAAATATTTCCAGTTTCGGTCTGTCTGCATGATGGACATATGCGAAGTCGGTACCGTGTTCGACGCACCTAAATTCACGAAAAATGCATCAACCCGATCCGTAATTACCTCTCCAGGTCTCTCTTCACTTAAGCGGAAAGTGTGTATTTGAAGCGTTTAAGCGGAGCAGAAAAACGGCATTAAGTGCGATAGGCCGCCAACCCAAGAGCGCACATACGCATGCCCTGGGACCGTGCACGTGCACTGTCAGAGGCAAAAACAAGCGAAACGTACGCAAACTTCTGTCTCTATATCGCGACCCTCGTAATATCCGACAAAAACAAAAGATAAAAGGCGTCGTAAGCCCGTGTCGCTTGTAAGCAGTTGGCCGTTCAAGGGTGGGCGGTCTGCAGGCCAGCGCGACCGGAACGACACTCCACGTGAGGTGGAAACAGCAGCAACAGGCGCCTCCGGGAGCAGTCAGGACCCGTGAGGTGGAGACGGAATGGGAGGAGGGCTTGTCGCGACAGCTCTAACTCCGGGGGAATAGCTGGGGCAAGGGACGATTGGCTGGAGAGAGGAGCTCGCTTTTGAGCGAAGCGCCCGCTGTCGCTCCACGGCCTACTGAAACAGGACCGGCGCACGTGCTCTAGTGGTGCTGGGGGGGGGGGAGGGGGGGGAACGACTGCAGCTCGTGACGCATTTGGTTTTAGGTGTTAAGGTGTTTAGGTGTTTTAGGTTTTAGTTTTAGGTTTTAAGTTTTTGACTCTTCACCATGACCATTTGATTTATCTGGCTCCATCACACATCACTGAACATTTGAAAGCTACGCATTCAAGGGAAGGGTTACAACTGTGACAACTCTTTGGTCAGCTTAGGTGATCATCACTACTGAGATGATCCCGCACGCAGCGCCATCAGAGTGCGCGTGGGCGTCAGCGGAACTCCAACCCGGGGCCGTTTAGCAGCACTCTCACGCCTGACAGTCCTCGCGCTTCTAGTGAGACGACATGTGGTGAAGACAGGGCATGAAGCGGTGAATGAAGAATAGGGCGGGCACACGACGCAACACTCGTGCGGAGAACATGCGAGTGGCGAGGCCAGCTGCGCCCGGCGCCGCCTACTAACCGTAGCTAGGCCGGTGCAGCGGCGCCGGCAGGCTGGCGGGCCGGCTGGGCGCCGGCGGCGTCAGGCGACCCGTCCGGGAGGCCGGCGCCATCGGCGGCGACGGCGAGTGGCCGGCGCTGCTACCCGGACACGGTGCGCTGCTCGACTGGTAGCAGAGCAGCCAGCGCGAGTGGCGGCCGGCCGACAGCGAGGCGGGCCGCTCCGGCCGCGCCGCCGCCGCCACCGCCGCCACCTCCGCCGCCGCCGCCGCCGCCGCCCCCGCAGCCGGCGGTCGGTGGTCGGGCGGGGGGCTGCGGGCCGCGGACCGCGGCACCGGCGGCGGCGAGCCCGGCGCGCCATTCAGGGGCTCTCGCTCTTGCAGCAGGTCTACCGGCAGCAGACGAGGGGAGGCATCACGGGCCTTGTCAGCACCCCACCGACGGCCGACGCTCCACTCCCTGCCCCTGGGCGGCTCTCGTCGACGGGCGGAGACTCTTCAGAGTGCCGTTTTCCCAGATGTACACAGCGAATGGCTGAAACGGTTTAATAATGCATTTATAGCGCGTTTGATAAGTATTCTGGCAATGGAAAGACCAATAGTTCAAGGTAACTCCAGTCATTCAAAATCATTGAATGTTGAAACAGTATTCAGTCAAGGTGTTTTCACAGCCGTCCACGGCATATACGTCATGGGTTACCCTATGGCTGCGGCTGGGGAAAGGGCTTCAGTACAACTCCTGCTCCCGAACAATATAACAACTGTGACGCATCCTCACCCAGCCAACATGGCATTCTACATCGCCATGTTGTCACTACTCCCGCGATGCCCTGGGTGCCTGGACTTGTGCACACAGCTTAGGTCTCAACATTTCAGATGGTATGGTTTAAGAAGATGTCACAAGCGAGATTTTGTGGTCTGTGATGTCAACCTGTTACCTCAGAAGCAGCTCGATTTGTAATGGTTGCGTCAAGAAGCACGGATTGGGCGTCAGATCTAACTAATTCCATACCCACATCGGCCCGCACCTGGTGCAGGTACTGGACCGTTGATAATATACCAGCACTTACACCCCTGCTTCACTGCACCAAGTAGAAAACGTAGAATTTTGAATTATATATATATATATATATATACATATTTCTGTGTGTGTGTGTGTGTGTGTGTGTGTGTGTGTGTGTGTGTGTGTGTGTGTGTGTGTGTGTGTGTGTGTGTGTGTGTGTGTGTGTGTGTGTGTGTGTGTGTGTGTGTGTGTGTGTGTGTGTGTGTGTGTGTGTGTGTGTGTGTGTGTGTGTGTGTGTGTGTGTGTGTGTGTGTGTGTGTGTGGTGTGTGTGTGTGTGTGTGTGTGTGTGTGTGTGTGTGTGTGTGTGTGTGTGTGTGTGTGTGTGTGTGTGTGTGTGTGTGTGTGTGTGTGTGTGTGTGTGTGTGTGTGTGTGTGTGTGTGTGTGTGTGTGTGTGTGTGTGTGTGTGTGTGTGTGTGTGTGTGTGTGTGTGTGTGTGTGTGTGTGTGTGTGTGTGTGTGTGTGTGTGTGTGTGTGTGTGTGTGTGTGTGTGTGTGTGTGTGTGTGTGTGTGTGTGTGTGTGTGTGTGTGTGTGTGTGTGTGTGTGTGTGTGTGTGTGTGTGTGTGTGTGTGTGTGTGTGTGTGTGTGTGTGTGTGTGTGTGTGTGTGTGTGTGTGTGTGTGTGTGTGTGTGTGTGTGTGTGTGTGTGTGTGTGTGTGTGTGTGTGTGGTGTGTGTGTGTGTGTGTGTGTGTGTGTGTGTGTGTGTGTGTGTGTGTGTGTATTCTGCAGTTTGACTTACAGTTGACTACTACTGACTACTACCCTGAATGTCAACATGTGGCGTAAAACGTGAAAAAATGGTCAGAAATGGACAAATTCACGTTGCTGGCTCGTGCATACGTGACACACAGTACGTGCCACATGACAATTTTTATCACGTGATTGCCCACTCGATTCCCAATCAGTGCATGCCGCTGCCGAGTGGGTCCGTATCCTGGGTGCAGAGATACGGTACAAAACGTGTGAGGCTGTGGAAGGTAGGAAAATCCATTTTACTGGTTCGTACACGCGTGACACGCAGGAAGTGGGACATTGCAATTTATGCCATACCATTTTCTGTTTTATTCCCTACCAGTACAGATAACTAATCCCATGCTCATATTGGTCCCCGTCTAGTGTAAGAACTGGACTGCTGCTAATGTATTCCATCAACTGTTCTTGACAACTTTTGCTTTAGGTGGACATAGGAGCAGGATAAAACAGACAAATGGCAGAGGCCAGGAAACCCTATCATAAAAGAACATGCGCCATCCAAGCAAAGCTAACAGACCGACGACGCATCCACCCTAGGCTCATTTCAAACATTATATGTGAAAAATTGAAATGTAACGCTCATCAGATTTGTGATGCGCCTTTTCATGCTATACGACGAGAATATCGTACCAAGAAAGAAAGGCATGCGAGAAATTGATAATAGATGGGTGAAGTGTTTTAGGCATACCTGCGAAGCAGGAGGGTGCTACACTATTGCCAAACAATTACATACCATTAATACATTAATGTACAGAGTGGACCGAAGTAAGGATGACCCTTCGCCTTGCCTAGGCCTTCATGGCCTACACTTACAGAATATTGGCATTGCCATAGTTACTTAAGAAACACAAGTAGCTTCATTTTACACAAAACATTGGCCGGAATCGCCGGCCTTCGACTGGTTTGCTCCTGCCTGGCTCCGAACTGCAAAGCGAATGATGGCCTGCCATGCCGCTTGCTGCCCAGCGTGCTGTCATAGCAAAGTATGTCCTCCTCACATTGAATACACCGCAAAAAAACAATTTTTGGCTTCGTAAGTGTAAGCCGCAGGCCACCAGTTTGCGGCGATCTTTTGTGAGCACCAGCTATCTGGTGCAGTTTGTGTGACTGTGCGCTCCGCACGCTTACTGTCGCTGGCCACAGTTCTCACAGTCAGCCGTCGCCGACCACAATCCCTGCACGCTAGCTGTGACCGGCCACAATCCCCACAGTCATCTGTCGCCAACCACAATCCTTGCACGCTAGCTGTGACCGGCGACAATCCCCGCAGCTAGACTCAGCGGCTCAAACGTGGCGTGAAGACCGGACGGTGCGAAGAGGTGGAAGCGGTGCACTCCGCCAGTCACCAAGGTCAAGCAGTGCCGCTCGCAGCGACATCGATATTGATAATATTTCTGTGGTCGCAATGGATCTGTGTGCCAAACAGCAATTTTCTGTGCGCGGCTATTCCGTGGATGTCGCAGCATACGCACGTTTGTACAGACGGGGAGGGCTGAATCATTGACACAGATCGCGCCACTACTGTCACGCTGCTATGGTGGCTTACATTCATGACTCTAGATCACATAGCACCACCTGTCCGGAAGCATGCCTCCGCGCCTGGCGCGTGCAGGGACCGGGATACACATGGCAGCCCGACGTCACCGCCCCGCCGGCTCGGCAGGAGCGCCACCAGCCGCTCCGAGCCGCTCGGCGGAGGTGGCGACTCGACACCAGACGGCTAAGTGGCAGAATAAGGCGCTGTGCTGTCTGCACGGCCCTGAGCGGAGCCAGTGGGGGTCGCGCTGTTTAAGTGAGATGGGCTTGTTCCGGTGTTGCGAACAGCCCGCTCTGGAAATGACAGCGTGGGTTCCGGTGTTGTGTCAAAGTCGAAAAGCAGTGACGTGCTGCCGTAGTGATACGAAACTGAGCGTGTTTCCGACATGCTCGTCACCTGACTAGTTTTTCCCCCATTTTGAAATGAGTAATGACGAATGAATAACGAGAAGTCAGGCCGTGAACCTCACATGCGTCTTCAGCAGCAAGTGTACAAGATCAGGGCAGGTACAACGCCCAATCCTGACAATTTTGATCCCGTGTCTGGTCACGTGACCAGCAAACGCTCCGGCAACCACTCAGAACGACGAACACGTCCGGCTAGGTACGGTCGAACCCCGGGAACTCCGGTGGCCAGGAACGGCCGGGTCCGGGGTCTCCGGTGGCCGGGTACAGCCGGGCCCGGGGTCCCCGGTGGCTAGGTACAGCCGAACCCCGCGGTCTCCGGTGGCCGGGTACAGCCGGGCCCGGGGTCCCCGGTGGCTAGGTACAGCCGAACCCCGCGGTCTCCAGTGGCCGGGTACAGCCGGGTCCGGGGTCCCCGGTGGTTAGGTACAGCCGAACCCCGCGGTCTCCGGTGGCCGGGTACAGCCGGGTCCCGGGGTCTCCGGTGATTAAGTGCGGTCGGACCCGTGGTTCCCGGTGGCGAAGCATAGCCAGGTCCCGGGATCTCCAATGACTAGGAACGGCCAGACCCCGTGGTTCCGGTGACGAAGTACGGCTGAGTCCTGAGGTCTCCAGTGACTAGGTATGAGGCAGGTACTATTACTAGGTACTAGGTAGGTACCAGGTATGGCCGGACCCCATGGTTCCCGGCGACAAAGTACGGCCGGGATCCCGGGGTCTCCAGTGACTAGGCATGGCCGGACACCGTGATTCCCGGTGATGAAGTACAGCCGGGATCCCGGGGTCTCGAGTGACTAGGTACGGCCGGGTCCGGGGTCTCCGGTGGCTAGGTACGGCCGGGTCCGGGGTCTTCGGTGGCTAGGTACGGCCCAGGTTCGGGGTCTCCGGTGGCTAGGTACGGCCGGGTCCGGGGTATCTGGTGGCTAGGTACGGCCGGGTCCGGGATATCTGGTGGCTAGACACCCGTCGTGTCACTCCGATAGCTCACAATAAATACCGACGGCCGTCGACAGCCATTGGCAGCTGGGTACGGCTGTCGGTAGTTGTTGATAGCAGCCACTGACAGCTACCAACCGCTCTAACGTTTACAACCATATCGGATTCTATCATCCATCGATATCCGCATGCAGCATTGTCCATAGCTTCAGACAGATGCGGAGCTGCTTTAAGAGCTGTCCGTTGAGGCGAACGGAACACCTCAGGAACTGGTGGGTGTTGATCTTGCTGAAGCCAATCATTTTCTTTCCAAGCATCACCGTAGCTAGTGACACATTTTATGAACAGTAAGC